TCGAGTGGCTAATATGAGTTATCGGAGCCGCTCGAAAAAGTCTCTCAAGTGCTGCGTCCGGCGTCAAGTGTTCGCTTGTAAAGGAGCGCGAATTTGGGGGGCTGAGATGCCCGATCAATAACGTAATTCAATTTCAATTGTACGTGAGCAAAAACAAAATGCATTTAAATTTCTGGGCAAATTGAATTAAGTTCGAGCTTCGCGCTGGCAGTGCGACCTTTCCTCGAATTAAATCATAAATTATTTCCGTCAAATGCAAAACAAATGAATGAGGTCGAAGGGGAGGACAGAAACGTGCACAATTTTAAGCTGAACTGTTTTAAGCTCTTTTCATTTTGGTCCGCTAAATGAATTTTCCGTGAAAGCCCGAAATGAAATTAAGCCTGCGTGTCCAGTGTACAATGACCCTCGTTTTTCAACATGCCAAACATGTCGAATATTATAAAGTTTGCTGTGCTTCAAATTGTAAAATATGTAAATTGTAGTACTTGAAAATGGTACTTTCCTTAGTCGAGCTTAAATTTAAAACTTACAAAAAAGAAAGCCTTTGAGAAATACATTTTAAATTATCTTTTATTTATTATTTAATTAAAAACAGCTTCTATAGCAAGATTTGGTTGTTATCACCCATGAAAAGAAGAATAATCTTCGCCAAGCTTAAATCAAAATGCAGATACTATATAAAATTTTAAGCTCATATCTTTAAACTTTGTTAAACATATATGATTTAAAATTATTTTGGTATAATGTAAGGCTAGCTTTGACGTTTCCAAAAGTGTATCATCTTGATAAAGAACTTGGAGTCTATTCGTAAATATTTTCTATTAAATTAACTGATAAGTTAAAAGAGTAAAAGCAAATATTTTACAACAGGGTAATCTTTAGTCTAAACTGAGTTCTGACTGGTTCTGTATCGCTTTTTTTCCGGGCTCTTTATAAACAGCATTTTTTCCGTCAGCCAATGCAATTAGCAAACAATGCAGGAATGAAAATTCGAGCTTAACGCGTAATATCCATTACAGACATAATGTGAAAAGTAGAGCTAAAAGGGGAAGGAGAGTGAAGAAGTTAACCCTTTTGCCCATGCGAGAAGCCACAGGAAGGAGAAGAAGGAGAGGTTGAAAAGGAAGGATATTCGGCTCCTGGGGCTGCTGGCTTGCTCATGCATATGAGCATATGTCGGAAATTGTAACGATTACATGCCGGACACACACACAGGAAATGGCGTAGCCGCCCACATCCCACCGCCCACCATACCGCCCTCCTTACCGCCCACCTTACCGCCACCCGACCGCCGATGATCACCATTGATTGTTTACATTTCGGGTTGCGTGAAAGTGTAGCATACATAACCGAGCAAATTTGTTTTTCCTTTCACATATTTTCATAATAATTACCTGATTAAAATGGCCCTTTTAATGTCCCGCGGACAATGATTTAATGCATTTTTAATTAAAATAAGTACGTCAAGTGCTCCCGAGTATCAATCGTCGGTTGACTACTGTAATTGAACCCGAAATAAGTCATTAAAAGTTTGTTGCCATGACTTTTGCAGCTGCACTTGGCGCTGGGCAAATCCGGCGAAAATGTTGAGAAAGACGTTGACGTTGGCGCAGCTCATTATAAATTTGTTGATGCTGCATATCTTGGGCTGCGGAATGGCAGGATGAAGGGATAGTTGGATAGCAGGATAGCAGGATGGCAGGATGGCAGGATGTGCTGCGCTCGCTTCCTTTCAGCCATCGAAGCAGAAGCTCAGAAGCTCCATTCGCTTTGGCTTGTGCATATCAGCAGCTTTTTATGCTTACCGCAGCTAGGAAACGGGGGGGCGGGGCATTTTTCGCCCACTTTCCTTCAGCCAGCTGCTGCCTCAACACATTTCATTTTCATCTTTGCTCCGGCAGCCGCAGGGAACTTGTCTAAAAATCACGCATAATTTATTTACCATAAACAAGATGAGGAACAAGAAAAGCCGACGATGGCCGCCTGTCAACTGGAATGGCAAAGGAGCGGGGGGCACATTCGGGGTGAGACTGCAATAAGGGCAGGCAGAGACGGTAAGGTATGGCATAGCATTTTGGAAGCCAGCCCAGATTGCAATAAAAACATCAAAAATGCAACAATGCAGGACGGGGAAAATGGAAAATGGGAAATGGAAAAGGGGGAACAGAAAAGCAAGGACAAGCAATCAGCTGAAAAAAAGCAAAGCAAAATAAACAAACTAAACTCGATTGAAGCTGCAGTGCAATAAAAATCGCTTTATCTTCATTAAGTCGAGCAAGATATCATTGCAAACAAGAAAGAAAGCAAACTTCGGCAAGCCGAAGTTCATATACCCTTGCAGCTATTGCAAGAATTAAACATTTTTGAAAACATTAAAATTATGATTTACTTTCGTATATGTTTAAAAACATTGAAGCTATGATGATTTGCAGCTCAATTATTTGATAGTTATTTTATATATTTTTATTATTTTTAAGGGAGCTATATGATATAGACGACCGATTTTGATAAAATTTAAACCATAATTCTGAAATATTTAACCATTGCTATATGTCGAAGAACTAAACATAAAATTAAAAAACAGAAAAGTTATAATTTTTTTCATTTATTTTTCCGATTGTTCCTATGAGAGCTATATGATATAGTCGTCCGACTTTGATGAAATTTAAACCGTAAATCGGAAATATTTAACCATTACTAAATGTCGAAGAACAAAACAAAAAAATAAAAAACAGAAAAGTTATAATTTTTTTTCATTTATTTTTCCGATTGTTCCTATGGGAGCTATATGCTATAGTCGTCCGATTTTGATGAAATTTAAACCGTAAATCGGAAATATTTAACCATTACTAAATGTCGAAGAACTAAACAAAAAATTGAAAAACAGCAAAGTTATAATTTTTTTCATTTATTTTTCCGATTGTTCCTATGGGAGCTTTATGCTATAGTCGTCCGATTTTGATGAAATTTAAACCGTAAATCGGAAATATTTAACCATTACTAAATGTCGAAGAACTAAACAAAAAATTAAAAAACAGCAAAGTTATAATTTTTTTCATTTATTTTTCCGATTGTTCCTATGGGAGCTATATGCTATAGTCGTCCGATCCGGCTCGTTCCGACTTATATACTACCTGCAATAGAAAGACAACTTTTGGGAAAGTTTTATGCAGATAGCTTTAAAACTGAGAGACTAGTTTGCATATAAACGGACGGACAGACGGACAGACGGACAGACGGACAGACGGACGGACAGACGGACATGGCTAGATCGACTCGCCTAGTGATGCTGATCAAGAATATATATACTTTATAGGGTCGGAGATGTCTCCTTCACTGCGTTGCAAACTTCTGACTGAAATTATAATACCCTCTGCAAGGGTATAAAAATAACACACACTTTTGCACAGAAGACAAACAAACGAAAGAGAGAGAGAGAGAGAGCAGTAGCTACCGCATTGAATAATAAATGCAACGAAAATAAAAATAACAGCTCTGTGGAGGAAAGGCAGAGAAAGGCGGAGAAAGGCGGAGGGGGACGACGGCGAGATGGAGGAGAAAGGGGGCGTGGGCGTATAAAGTACATGACGCAGGGATAAATGGTGGAATCATGTACACGTACACCCACACACAAACACACGGACGTCAAGGATAAAGGTAGCAGGATGGCAGGTGAAGGGATGAAAGTGGATACCACATGCATTGTTGCCACTGTCTGGGTGTGTATCTGTGTGCTTCTTCAACTTCATGTCCTCCAAGGACTCTCCACCTCCACCTCACTTCCACTCTTCCCCCTCCTCTTTTGGCTCAAGCACAAACGAACCGAAGCGTTGCGAAATTATTGCAGCGAGCTGCGAAGCGAAAAGCCAGTTCTTAAATGGAATCCACTGGTCACAGCGGCAACTTTCTGGCCAAATTACATTTGGGCTTAATGATCAGGTGGACAGAAATGAAAACCACTCGACGTTTTCCCCAAAAGGTCAAACGACCATTATTGTAATTTGTAATCTAAGTACTCATCGTCAACGATTACAAGCAAATCGAGCTATGCAATAGAATGCTATCTTGACTAGTACAAATATTTGTCTTACACTTGTAAAAAAAATTCAGAAAAATTAAGGAAACAAGCACTTGCCGATCCATAACCTAAACTATTGAAATTTATTTACTGGTCATTTACCTCTTTTAAGTTTAATAAAATAGCTATGGCTACCTTCTGTATTTATCTCGAAAAGTGACCGATTTGAGATTTTTAAAATATTTATTTATCTAAAATAATATTATTTATTTTTGCCTGGCTGTTAATATTATATTTTGATAGCAGAAGTGTTTTCGTATATACAAGTATACGTTTATGTATTAATTTGTCTCTGAAATAAATTTTTTCAGTTTTAAATTGAAACACAAAAGAGTGCTTCTATTTAAAGATTTATTTTCGAATCTTTCTTTCTACATTTTAAAAATCAGTATTTTTTTCATTACATTTTTTAGAACATCCATTATTTTCTGCATAATTATATATTATTCAGCTTTCAACAGAGAGTAGGAAAATCGAAACCGATTTCAGTTGGCCTTCTTGCCTGGCAGCCTTTTAATATTCCTTGCAGCCACTCGCAGGTTTCCGCTTGATGACGTCGACGATGATACGGATTGCTGATGGGAAATGGATTGGGTATGAGGTGTGGGGATTCCGGGGTGGCGTGGTTCCACCGACCACATTATTGTTCTATGCAAATACTATGGACCGGTGGCTGCCCGGGGGTAAATTGTGAAGTGGTTACAATGCATTTTTATGTGCAAGAGCGCGCGCTAAAAATTTATTGAAAACGAGCAGGAATATTTGCATGAATGAAGATGAACAGAAAGGCGATGCCCCAGATGCTGCAGGTGTGCAGCCAATGAAAAATTTTCCCCATATCCCTTTTAAATTTTACATATTTTCATTGCCTTTTTGAGAGTCGCAGTATTGATTTATGGAAATCTCTGAATTCTTGCAGGCCAAGCGGATACAGAGCAATGAGCTGGCCGCCATCAAGGTCATCAAGCTGGAACCCTCCGACGACATACAGATCATCCAGCAGGAGATCATCATGATGAGGGACTGCCGCCACCCGAACATCATCGCCTACTACGGATCGTACCTGCGCAGGGATAAGCTCTGGATCTGCATGGAGTTCTGTGGCGGTGGCAGTCTGCAGGACATCTACCAGGTCACTGGACCCCTCACCGAGGTCCAGATCGCCTACATGTGCCGGGAGACGCTCAAAGGACTCGAGTACCTGCACTCCATGGGAAAAATGCACCGCGACATCAAGGGTGCGAATATCCTGTTGACGGAGTACGGTGACGTTAAACTGGCGGACTTTGGGGTTTCGGCGCAAATAACGGCCACAATTAACAAGCGCAAGAGCTTCATAGGTAAGTGATTGAAAAGGCCTTTTAAAACTAACTATACTGAATTAAACTTATGAAGATTAAAAGGACTTCCCAGTCAGTAGTACCTATTCTTTCAATATGTTTTAACTCTTGAATTTCCAAGAAAACATTCTTACCGTGGACTTATCTAGATTGAAGAGATCGATTTCCCAGTCAAGTAGACGATGGGAAATGCTTGTTCAGCACACTTTTTTTTGCAGCAGTGACAGCTGCGAAATCGTTTGCCATCAAAGGCACTCGCCGGCGAAGTCAGAGTTCGAGTTCGAGTGGAAACCTTGGAAATATGAACGGTGGGCGGAGAAAGGTGCTCGCTCTGCTGCCACAGAAAGTGCTTATCATTATGAGATTCGGTATTGTGCGCACAGCGAGGCATCAGAGCAGAAAAATGCGAGGAGAGCGTCCTGACAGCAGCAACAATTGCGTTTAACGCTTCTAAACGCTCCTCATCCAAAGAACAGCTGTCAGAAATGACAAAGCACAAATAACACAAAGTAACAAAGTAACAGAAAGGAAATATAAAAACTAAACAGAGAGTGGAATATCAAGTATACGTCCGAGTGGTTACATCTCGAAGCACTTGGAAATGGTCAAAAGCCTGAATGGAGCCTCCAATTGAATGCAATTCAATTAGGAGTAGCATTATAATGGCTTCTGCAAGGAATTCTCAAATATAATCAAAAAGCGATGGCGGTTCCAAAGGGAACAATTCAATTTGCAGAATATTTCAAATGCAGGCGAAGTACCAAAAATACAAGGAGCCTGGCAAACTGGACAAGTAGGCGACCAGCAGGTGGCCAGTCTGGCTTTGTTTGCAATCGTTTGGGGGAATGGGAGGGATCCTCCTCCCCTCTTTGCTGTCGTCCCAAACTGAAGCACAAAAGCAAATAATTTTTGAAAAATGTCCCAATTGGAGAGTCGTCGACTCAGTTTTGGTGGCTACTTCTTTTGTGGGCTGTTCAGCTTCCCCAGGCGTCTTTAACCTTTCCCTCTTTCCACTTCAGATGCTTATTTTTGTCACTAATAGATTTCTACTTCTCCTACTTCTTTCGAAGCTTTTCTGCTGCAGTGAACAGCGTTAAGCTGCTTTCCCAATCTCAGTAAAGGTAATTTCCCAGCAAGCTAAAAGGGAAAAGGAACACTCGAAAAATATAACAACGTCTTTGGTAAAAGCCATAAGTTTCAGCAATAAAATGTTAATGGCAAATTCAGTAGTTTTCCAGAAGAACTTAAATGGTTATTTTTAAATTTTTTTATAGCCCTGCCGGGGGTGTTGTAGTTTTACTTAAAGGTTGGCAAAATAGACATTTCCTATAAAATGTTTAAATAATTGTGCAGCATCCCCGACTTAGCCTTGCTTTTACGCAATCTCGTCTTTTAGTTTGGAGCAATTTTGATAAAATAACGAACAAAGCGGAACGAGCAGGATTGGAATTTAATTGCATCAAATATATATAACTTCCTTGCAAGCACAAACATTTTAATTTTTATAAAATCGAATAATAACTTTTTGTTTAAGCTGCCGAGTTGGCTTTTTTTTATTGATTTTCCCCACGCTGGGCTATTTAAATGCTTGCCTAGGGCTTAAAGCTGACGATGCCGAGTCAACGTGTCGTATACGCAATTTGAATGTAAATAGCAACTTATCAGTCACACGCCATGTGCGGCAGGAAAATAGGGGTTTGCAAGGGGGTGTAGTTTGTCATGACAACTTGCAATCTTTCGACGAGCAGAAGAAGCGGCGATGATTTGCATTAGCTTCCATTTTTTCTGTCGTCATGGCACAGACTTTCAACTTCCAAGACTTTGCAAATGAGATTTTGCGGTCACGCGACCATCAGTTAAGCCCAAGAAGTTCCACCGCCCACAAGAACCACGGTCCGCTCACAATTAATTATTTCAAATGCTGGCTATGCACTTAATTAAAATTCTCACAACCCTTCATCGGGCCGTTGACACTGGCCAGCTAATTAAGTTATGACAGCTGGCTCCTCACTCTTCATGTCCTTAAAATTGCCGAGAGGAAGGCTTTGAAGCTTAGAGTTCTTTGAGTTCTGGCGCCATTAAATTCTAAGCCAAGTTAGTGTTCATGACATTTTCAGTCAATGGCGAAGAGGCACATAAAAACCGGCATCTGATTTGATTTCATTTACGCCAAATTGGATTTATCCCACTCCCGACTAAGCAGCTTCATTTTTAATGCCGTCTTTTGTCCTTTGAGTCCACCGTTAAAGCGAAAAGCAGCCATAAAGCAAGCTCGCAGCGCTAATTTGATTTCTGATTTATTTGTACGGACAAGTCCGCGCAGTTGGAAGTGTGTGTGTGTGATTAATGTGCTGCAATTTGTGCAGCGAAAAATAGTAAAAGAAAAAATATAGAAATATATATGGAAAGGGGAGAGGCAACTGTAAGTTTAACGACCTTGAGGTTGCTATAGCTTTTGTTTCCTCTTGTTCTTTGTTGCCACTTTTGGCTGCAGTTTCATGACGTTTTCGAGCTGAGCGAGCATCTTTTGTGGCATGTCAATGTGGCGGAGTGTGCAGTGCCAGCGACAGGGTGCTAAGGGGATTGACAGCATACTTTCTGGGAAGATGACAGGGTGGTCGATTGCACAGGATCTCCTCCTATCGCCCTGTGTTTGTGTGAAACTGCCAAACAATGTGACGTCCGCTTACTGTTATCACTCCGAGTGCTCTTCACTCCAGCTCCCTCCAGCGCCATTGTGTTTGTTGCCATTCCAGCCGTTGTTGCGACTGCTGTGACAAATGTGGTGACAAGTACATACACCCACACTTTTGTCCGTCTATCCTGCATGTCTGCATAGGAGCACGAGGTCAACCCCGAATCGTTTGTACCTCATGCATATGTACATAAGTCGATTGCTGAGCTTCCATCGATTGTTAGGATGACAGTAAATACTCGTCTGATCCCAGATATGTCAGCTCTTTGTGGTTGCATATTTTCAGACGAACTGAAAACACACAGATTGCTTGTTACAGCAGAAACGAAATATTTTATAAGCCCACAGATTTAATGCAATTCTCTTAGCTCTGATCATCAAGGCCATCTTAATCATTATGTGCTGCTATTTAGGGTTGGTTAAACCATCGATAGCATCGATGGTCGAACAATTTAGCAAACAAAATAAATTTTTATTTGTGTACATTTTAAAGAATATTGGTAGTATACTGCGGTATATTTCTAAAAACTTGTATGTCCAATAAGAATATATATGAAAATACCAGTTTAAAAGCTAATGTTAATTTGTTATAACTTGCTTTTTTAATCAGCATTAAATGGAATAAATTAATAATTTGAATTCGTTTTAGTGATATTTCTTACTAAAAATGTTCTATACCATCGATAATCTCGATAATGGCCACCGCCGATAGCCAAAGCTATCGATAGTGCACACTATCGATGTTTTACCTATCCTACTGCCATTTGTATAGTTTGTTTTGACACAAATGGCTGTCATTTACGAGTTCCTATAAGGATAAATACCAAATACTTTAAATTTGTAATTTCTGAGTCCTTAAATTTCTCTTATCGAAGAATCGAGAATTCAGCTCCTTTAAATCCTTAATGTTTCAGATCCTGAACATTGAAGTTTATTTATATTGCTTCGTTGATATTATTTTCTCAGCGGCTTTTTGTCCTTGTAGCCAAGAAAAACAAAACTCAATGCCAACAACAGAGATGGAAAAGGAGTCTGAACAGCCGGGAAAAATGAGAAGAGAGAAAAAAAAACGGCAGAAGCTCGGGGGTGGCGACAGCCTGACGCTTTTATTATTCAATAAAAAGGTGCTTACGTTTGTGTTTAGTGTCATTAACAAGTCAATGGCAACACACGATGAGCAGAAACTTCCACCTCGCTGGCTTTGAGCTGTACCGCCCTCCCTCATGCCCCTCCCCACATCCCCCAATTCGCTCATTCAGCCGCAGTTATGCCATAAAGATGAATATGCGTATGTGTGTGGGCTGTCCTTAATGTTTCCCAGTTCGCGAGTTGACGGAAATGCGTCTTGGCATTAAATAGATGCAGCCTAAAAGCCTGCCATCGTTTTTTTCCACCATTTGCCATTTAAATCTGCTGCCGCCTGTCTCCTTTAATTCCCGTATTCTTTTTTTTTTTGTTCCTTTTTGCAGCAATTAACAAAATAATACTTGACTGGCTGTTGCTGCTGTCACTTTGTGGATAAAATTGCTTTCCCCTCGCTCTGTGTCTGTGTCTGTGTATCAGTATCTCTCTGTGTGCACTTGTTTGCGTTGCCCTTTAATTAAAATGCATGCGAAAGTTCAGGGAATTCGCATTGCTGCAATGCTTTTAAGTCAGCCTCCATTCCGCATCACTTTGCCGGATCGAAGTTCAAACAAGAGCGGAAACAATGATGACGAAGCCCGGGGCGAAAACCAAAATGGTATCTTAAACTTGGCCCGTATCAAAGAGCCGGCATCAAACTTGATTTTCCACCTTCGTTGTGGTTTAATTAAATTGAAAATACAATTAACTGCCACGACGACTTCACTGCCACTTGTCAAGTGAGGGGAAAATTAATTTTGTCGGGGCGACATTCATCCAGGGAAACTACTCCAGCAGATGCTGTTTTCATGGTTGTTGCTTTTGCTGCTGGCTCGGCAAAATTGTTGCCTCGTTGCAACATGGCGTATGAGTAATGGACGCATTAGCCACCCACTCCTTGCGATCGTAAAACGTGCGCCCAAAATGAAGCGCCAAAATGTGTCGCAAATGTTCCCATGCCACTTCCCTGGCTTTGATTACCTTGCTCTGCATAATTTAGCAATTTGTTTATTTGCACAATTGTCACATTGACGCATAAAAAACGCTAATTAAATTAATAACGACACTTTCCCGGCGAATGAATAAATGACACCAACATAATCGGCAGCAATGAAATTAAATGTGTGAATTTTGCATAATTAGCTGGGCCAGCAAAAAAGATGCTATTGATAGCCGTGATTGTAATTCAATCGCTTATTCTCTTGTTTTAAACCCATTTTAGGCACACCCTACTGGATGGCTCCCGAAGTGGCAGCCGTGGAGCGAAAAGGTGGCTATAATCAACTTTGTGATATTTGGGCCTGTGGTATAACCGCAATCGGTAAGTAGCTAAATAACTGAATTAATTTCCTATACCTATATTTCATTCTTATTACGTTGTTTTCATTTCTATAAGGAATAATGGAAATTTGTTTTTAAATTTTTTTTCTAGCTTTAAATACTGAAATACTGCAATTTAAATTATTTAAAATGTAAAACTTCACATTTAATGGTGCACAAAAAGTATTCTGTAATAAAAAACATCTATCTATCTTGTGGAATGCACATTTATTAACTTTTTTTACTTTGACAGACTTTTAAGTGATTATATAAAAAAAGGTATTAATATACTTCTTTATTTAATAAATTTAGTTAATATCAAACTTTTTTTTACAAAATGTCAAGTAAATTATTGATTTCAATGCATTAAATATAGGCGGGGGTAGGGATAGTGCTCTTAAAACCGAGCTGCTCTTTAGGGTATTTTTTGATCAATTCCAGTATTATGTAAAATTTTTCAAGAAAGTGACAAATGCTTATTTGATGTAAAGGCATATCATTAATCCTTTAAATAAGGGCAATAATTCAAAGAAGAGATGAACGAAAGATTTTTTTAATTTATCGTATCTATCTACTAAATAAACCGCATCAAATTCGGTGTGCATAAAGGGATTAGATGACACTCAAACAAGTTTTTTGAACATTATCGTCTGTACCGCATAGTTTGTTAATGTAAAATAATAAAAAAATTTTAAATGTCTAAAAAGGCTTCGAGTGCGTTTCTTGCAACACCTAGTAAAGAAGTACTTTTGAACATATGGGTTCAGTAGATTTTGGCAGTCGTGTGCCCAGGACTCCTCACCTTCTCTTAAATTCCCTACGGTTTCAAATTTAGGTTCAAAATATTCGGGTTTGGTTGTAAATTCAAAACTTTTTTTTGACTACCAATTCATATAAATAATAGCTTTGAAAATATTTGAATTTAGTAGTAAACTCCAAACGTTTTTTGTCACTACCAAAACAGAGCTCGCCGAGCTGCAGCCACCGATGTTCGATCTGCACCCGATGCGGGCCCTCTTCCTGATGTCGAAGAGCGGCTTCAAGCCGCCCACCCTGAACAACAAGGACAAGTGGAGCCCCACGTTCCACAACTTCATCAAGACGGCGCTGACGAAGAACCCGAAGAAGCGACCCACCGCCGAGCGCCTGCTGCAGCATCCCTTCGTCCAGTGCGAGATGTCCTTGCGGGTGGCCAAGGAGCTGCTGCAGAAGTACCAGAGTCCCAACCCGCAGTTCTACTACTATCTGGATGGCGATGAGGAGGTGTGTGTTAGTGTTAGTTTTAGTGTTAGTGGTCGGCTCCTGGGGCGAAATGGTGCCAGATAAGTCTGGGGATGGCAGCAGCCACTTGGCACCTCTAACGTAATTTATTTACGCTTTCAGAGAAAAGCGGAAGAACTTAAAAGAAAGTTTTTCTCAAGCTAAAGCTCTCCCCGAACAGTTCAGCTGCGGTCCGTTGCAGGATTGGTCAACGATTTAGTGCGCCATTAGACACTTTAGAAACCCTTATGGCTTAGCCCCTAAATTCGACCTAATTAATTGGCCGCCAAAGTCGGTCGAACTAATGCAGCTGTCTAGACAGCCGGCCCGAGGCTTATTGAACAACATTTGCAAGCCCGAAATCAAATTCAAGTTTAATGATTTTGCCAGCAGGGACAGCCATTTTAAAGACATTTTCATGGCAGAGCGGAGTCTTTGAGGGTCGGTCCGTTCCCGTCAAGTCATAAATCTTCAATTTGTTTGGATGTTTTGCAAACTTTTAGCAGCGGCTGGCAAATAAGTTTCCCTGCTTTCCTTCCTACACTTCGATATTCAAAATTTTACTAAGCTTGGTTTCTTTTCTTTTCTTGCAAAAAATAACGCATCAAGCTTAAAAATCCCAATATGATTTTGATTTATGAGATTTTATCGCAGGCGGAAACTTTGTCGCCGAATGAGTGACAATGGGGAAGTTGTGGCCCTTCTCCAGCTGGGTTTAAAAGTCTCCTTTCTTCGTTTTATTTTTTTTCAGTCTGTGGCCGGTGTGCCGCAGCGCATTGCCAGCAAAATGACGTCACGCACTAATGGCGTCCCAGCACAAAATCACACACTAAAAACAGGTGAGTCGATAGGTAAAATCATTAAAAAATTCTGAAAGAAATTTATTTTAATTGTTATTAAAATTGTCTTGATCACAATTTTTAAGTTTTTAAATTATTAAAAAAATATTAATACTATCAACGCTATAAAAAAAATTCCAATATTGATCAAATAATTATTTATTGATTTAGTTAAAAGAATATCCCATTAACTAATAGACTGTTTGGCACTTTTGTAAAGATTATAGATTTTTCAATTACCCTTAAAAATTGATTTTTAACATTTATAACACCTTTTCTCAAAATAAAATAAATAATTGTGATCATTTTTAAAGCTTTATGCCAGCTAAACCGATTTTAAAAACAAGAAAGAAAGCAAACTTCGGCAAGCCGAAGTTCATATACCCTTGCAGCTATTGCAAGAATTGAAGCTATGATGATTTGCAGCCCAATTATTTGATAGTTATTTTATATATTTTTATTATTTCTAAGGGAGCTATATGATATAGACGTCCGATTTTGATGAAATTTAAACCATAATTCTGAAATATTTAACCATTGCTATATGTCGAAGAACTAAACAAAAAATTAAAAAACAGAAAAGTTATAATTTTTTTCATTTATTTTTTCGATTGTTCCTATGGGAGCTATATGCTATAGTCGTCCGATTTTGATGAAATTTAAACCGTAAATCGAAAATATTTAACCATTACTAAATGTCGAAGAACTAAACAAAAAATTAAAAAACAGCAAAGTTATAATTTATTTTCATTTATTTTTCCGATTGTTCCTATGGGAGCTATATGCTATAGTCGTCCGATCCGGCTCGTTCCGACTTATATACTACCTGCAATAGAAAGACAACTTTTGGGAAAGTTTCATGCAGATAGCTTTAAAACTGAGAGACTAGTTTGCATATAAACGAACGGACAGACGGACAGACGGACGGACAGACGGACAGACGGACATGGCTAGATCGACTCGCCTAGTGATGCTGATCAAGAATATATATACTTTATAGGGTCGGAGATGTCTCCTTCACTGCGTTGCAAACTTCTGACTGAAATTATAATACCCTCTGCAAGGGTATAATAAAAATGATTGTAAATTAAACATTGTTTTTTGTTGAAACGGGTATTTACTGTTTCTAATCGCACTTTTCTTTTTCGAATTTTGTTTCCAAGGCATGACGACGAACTCCACGTGGAATGAGCGATCTTCTAGTCCCGAGACGTTACCCAGTGACATGTAAGTGCAGTCGAACCCTTCCTAACGTTTTCCTCTGCGGTTTGCCCGGACCTAAGCTACAGTTTTGTCTATGGTTTTCTTTCTTGCGAGACGGGTTAACTCCGCTTCAGTTTTGGTACTTCGGTTTCAGTTCTCACACTATTACACCCAAAACACATTCCACTATGTACATACACTTGTTAACTAAATGCAGCCCATGGATTCACCAGCTTGAAAATTCACCCGGAAGCATTTGGGAATTTTCCCACAGGAATGGGAAGGCGATGGGGTAAAATGCATCAGCCAAGCCATTGGTCAAACCATTAGTTATACAATTCTATAGCCACTTCTTCGTTTTTTTTCTCTTTATACTTGTAGTCCCAGCGCCGAGCGATCTAGACCGAAATTGAGCGGCACCCTGATTATGAACATGTCTTTAAGGTTAGCCAAAAAGGGCTATATTCCAGCTGCTAACCGAACTGCATGGCATGTTGCGCTTTTTATGCTGGCCCAAAACTTAAGGCCGCAGCACGCGCGCTATGTAATTTGCTCGGAACTTTGGGCTTGTGCGAGCGCAGTCAATTTTTTACTTGCACGTTTCCCGGGAGCTGTGTTTACTTTCGCATTTTGCTGCATTTTCATGTGTATTGCTGCTACACACGCTTGCGCTAAGTTGCCGCTACGTGTCTGCCTCGGTAAATTCCGTACCGCTCGCCCGTCCGGAGACTGGTGAATTTTTCATCCACTCCACGGACGAGTGCGAGTCCCAGTCCCAGTTCCAGTACCGACCCTATTCCTAGTTTCATTCTCGGATGTATAATTGCAACCTGGCTTGCATGATTCCCTGGGCGGGCTTCAAACTTGTGGGCTATTTAATTGCCAGCCAGAAGTAATTACGTCAGGGCGAGAGGCCCGCCCAAGTACGCTGCAACATAATAATAATAATAATAAGCAGCCTCAGCTCCCGGATCAGAGTGGCTCGGAAAACAAGAAACTTGCAAGAAACGCGATGAAAAATTGGGGCTACAATGGCAGCAGATAGATGGCAGGACTCGAAACGGGCCGTGAGTGGCGGGTTCTGGGGGGGCGGAAGGATAAGTTTTCAAGAAATCAATTAACGCAGCAGCTAACTAGAGCGAGAGCAAAGAATAGATGGATGGCACATCAAGCATACGCCGCGTGGCACGCAACTTCAGCTTCAAACGGGCGAGTGCAGAGAGAGAAAAATGCTGTTCCAGTTGATTGCTTCAGAATTAATAGACAATTTAGTTAGTATTGTTTACTTTACATTTTATTTTTAAATAATGCATTTAGACGGCATTTATAGGGAAATAGTAGTCATATATTTTTAAAACTCAAACTAACTCATTCCACTAAACTTCTAAACTTCTAATTGATATACAACATTTTATTTCATAAAAGTATTAATTGACTAATTTTTTTATAAAATCTAATCAAGTTGAGTGATAAATTTAACAATGAATCTCAAGTTCTTTTAAAGTTTCAAATAACAAGTGATAAAAACAAATTGAATGAAATTCTTAAATTTATATATAAATTCACAGAGTTGAACATCCATTTGGTTGGTATTTCTCTCTGTGTAGTCGCCGGGTGAGGCGCCATTTGTCATTTTAAATGATTACACATTGTTCTCCGCTGATGGAGGGGAGTGGCACGTTTAATAAGCCCTCCCAGCGATCGGAGGCGGAGAAAGGAGAAAGGAGAAAGGAAGGAGGGAGTCTGGAAGTGCTCGATTTGAGTTATGTGGCAAACACTTTGCGGCACCCGCCACTCGAGTGGCGTCGCAGACAACAAAGCCAAGTCACTGTGTCTATATGCATGCGAGAGCTACTCCTAGGCTCCCTACTTCATCCTTCCCCAATCCCCCATCGATTCTGATGCCCAATTTTATTGATGCCATAAAAACGGCTGCGCCAATTTCTATGTACTGAGCGCTACTTACAAGCGACTTGCTGGCTAAGTGCCACACCCCCGCCCCTGGAGTTCGCCCCCGGCCACGCCCACATCCGCTGCTTTGCGGCGCCCGAAAAGTTTTGAAAAGCTGGCTCGTCTTACGCCTTTCTCCTTGGAGCCACGCTCGACCGTCATGGTTAATTTCATTTAAACCGTCATAAGCAGAAAGTATAACAAGAATTTATTTACTCTTTTTTGCTTGTGCTTTCTTTGTTTTTTTTTTTTTTTTGGCGGCGCAGAACCCAACAAAATGGGGAAAATTATTAATTGCCTAGGCGGGAGGAAGCAGATTAAGATGGGGGGGAAAAAGCGGCAAAGAATGCCACATTTTTTAATATCCCGTTTATGGGCTGCTTTTTAAGTGGAGAAATGGGCTGTGCCAGATGACATTAGGCAAAATTATGAACATGGCAAATTAGCTGATGCGTTTAATTGGGCGTTAGGATTTTCCGCTGCCACAAGCTAGCTTTTCCACTGAATCAGGATTTACCCAAAGTGGCGGCTTTAAAGAGTAATGAATTACGTTTTTACTAGCTGTGAGACTGCAAGTTCGCCGATTTTGGTAAACACACACACACAAAACCCCGTTAACACACTCTGATATTTACAAGTACTTAAGATTCCTAATGCTTTTACGATCTGAAAGTAAATTTAGTTTTATATTTGGGGCTGCCGAATAATTTTTCTAAACTAACTTCGTTACTTTTCCTACTTTTGTATTTTGTTCCCTTTTTTTTCATATTACAAACTTAACACAATGAAATTTTCTGTTTATTTTATTTTCCTTTTTTCCGTATCTTTGTTTTTTGTATTTGATTTTTGTAGGAGCCTCTTACAATATATTGATGAGGAGCTGAAGCTAAGGTAACTACACCAACCAATGTATTCCCTTAGACTCGAGCCTCGGCTCTCGGTGTGACCACTACCTGAATCAACCCCCCCCTCTCACATAGACTAAACTGACCCCCACTAACCCTATCATAATTCATGCATAACACTCATCAACACACCCATTTTTACACAACAAGTTGAAACATCGGTCTGAAAATGAATACAAAGGGATTCGATATTGATCATTATTTTTATTAAGGTACAAACTTAAACTCTAAAATGGCTGAGCTCAAATTAATAATAAGGATCATTGATAAAACTGAATATTAAATTGCACAGTTTTTTCTTTGATCAATTAAGTTAATATACCTGTTGCTAACGAAAAATCTTAACTGATTGTTTAAGAATTTTTTTTTACGCAACTCTGAAAGTCTTAAAGAGTTAAAAACTACTTCTAAGCTTCTAGATTTCTTCTAGATTTAAGATACTTTTGGTAAAATTGATTAATATTTGACGTTTCTTTCTGTGTGTAAGCTTTGATATAGCATTAAGTTCATCTCGTCAAGAAAAGAAAGTTATTGGTGCTTTTTTGCCATCTCCTTATCAAGGATAAGGATCGTTAGTGAAACTGAGTATTGAACATTCATATAGTTGTTGGTTACGAACTTTCGATAGTTTAAAAGTTTGTTAAATAATGTAGAGAAAAAGCAAGCAACTCTTAAATTTAAATATTTAAAAACTAGAAGAGGTCTTAAAAAGAGTATTTTCTAAATCTTCTAGATTTTAATTATATTTCGTAAAGTTGTTCAATACTTGACTTTTCTTTCTGTAAGCAAACTCTTCATTTGACTTTGATTTAGCGTTAAGTTCATCTCGTCAGGGAAAGAAAGTTTTCGTTGCCTTTTTGCCATCTCCTCACAGACTTACACATTTGCAAATGAGTGTGTGCTATATCCTGGCATCCTGGCAGCCGTCAGATAGCAAACCACACCCACACACGCGCAAACCTTCACCACCAGAGCTGCTGCATCATTATCATTATGAACCAGAAGCAGCAGCAGCTCATCTTGTGGCCACCTTGGTTTATTACCGGCCATCTGCCCACTCCGTTGCCAAAAAAAAAAAAAAGCAGCTACATTTTCATTACGTTTTTTTCCGTACTGCGTCCATTTAAACCATATTAAGTTACGGCTGCTGTTTCTCTTCCATCTTATAAGTTAGTTCTTCTTGTCCATCGCGCGTTCTTTGTTTGCCCAACTTCTTCTTTTTAGGGGGGCCTTTGTTTTGTCGGTTATTGTCTGGGCGAGGCTTTGTTCGGTTTTGCCTCTTTTTCCGCCTAAACTTTTGCCTTTGTCTATCGATGGGCGACCATGGCGAGCAAGTGAGAAACCGAGCGAGCAAATAGAGAATAACGAAAGAACGCACGTTGAGCATACGCACCGTGGGACGCCCGAAATGACCCCTTCGATGGCTCAATTATTTGGCCGGACGAAAACCAGAAAAGCAGTTCTCAACTAATTTATACAGTACAATTGGTTTATATTTTGGGCAGAATTTATACATCGATGGGTCGCCATGAAATGCGCTCGATTTGTCCTGCCTTTGGACCCTTTTTCCCGTGTTTATTGTTTATTTATTTGATGTGTGTGCAAATGGCCGTCACATTGCTTTTATTGTTATTATTATTATTGGCCAGGCTCTAGTGCAAACAAGCAATGCCACACGTAGCCGTGGTCCAGTGTTGATTTGTCCATCTCGGGGCCAGAAAACTCCTAAAATATGCAGCATTATTGGCCATCGCAGTGATTGAGGAGCTTTGGCGGGGGAGTCTGAAGGAGCCTAAGCTGTTCTTGCCCTCTGGGCGGATGATTGAACAACACGATGAAAAACAAATTGCAATTAAGCTGGCTGGCATCAACTGAAAATTCAGAAAACTAATTCGGCAAATGGGAATTGGCATTTCTTTGGTCAGCTCTCTTCTCCAGCAGCTGTTGAGATTTTCCAGCAAATTCTGTTTGTTTTTGCTTGATTTCGTCTTGTTTTGTTTGGGCAAATTTGTTGGCATTTTGTTTTTAGAATTAATTTTCCAAGCTTTTTTTCTGTTGGCTTTTTTCTACATTTTTTGCTGCTGTTTTTGTTTATTGTTTCTGTTTTTATTCCCCCGCTCTTTCTGTGTCTGTGCATTCATGTGCGAGGCAATCTTCTATTCAAGAATTTCCCATTTTCATTGGCGTGTGTGTGTGTGTGTGCGCGTATGACTGTGTGACTGTTTAAATGTGTTTTGTGTGTGTGTCTTTGAGCATTTGTATTTTGCATCTCATGCATAATTTATGGCTTCATATTAGTTTATTTATTTATTTACCTGGCGTCCCGCATAAAAAGCAACTACCAGCCAACTAGGACATCAGTAAGTGGGTTTAACCTGGGGTTGGCCAATAATTTCATAAAAAGCATAATCCGCTTAACACCCCCTTTGTCGCCCCCTGCGGTTGCCCGATGGAGTTTATCAATTCGATTGCATGTTCCACAAACACTCACACAATTAAGTGACCTCCACTGCATGCCAGACAGGATGAGCCAGGGGTCCTGAGCTCCTGCCTCCTCCGCCACACGAAACTCGAACTCAGCCACCAACAGCAACAAACAAACAGAACCAGTCACCCAACCAACCAGTCACGCCCCCTCACCCAGCCCTTAAATCGAAAACTATATAGCCATATAGACCTTAGCCTACCGATCGAAGAAGGAAGCTCAACATCTCGGCTCTCTTTTCTCTCTCTCTCTCTCTCTCTCGTTCTCTCTCTCTCTCTCGCCCCTCTTCTCTCGATCTCTTGACTCCCTCCGCTTGTCTGAAACGGTCCGCAGAGCGACCTTGCCACTGATCAGCGACACCAAAGATCCACTCGCCGCCGAGTGCAGCTGCTCCTCCCACAACGGAGGAGCCGCCGGAGTAGGAGTAGGAGTAGGAGGAGGAGGAGGAGGAGGAGCAGGCGGGGCAGCTGCGAACGGCAGCAGCAGCAGCAGCGGCGGCGGCGCTGGCGGAGCAGTCGGCACCACCCATCATCAGCACCACCAACACCACCAGCATCACCACCATCCGAATCATCCGAATCACCTGCATCAGCATCAGCAACATCCATTGCCGCAGCAGCAACAGCAGCAGGCGCAACAGCAGCAGCAGCAGGCGCATCAGCAGCAGCAGCAGCAGCAGGCGGCACAGCAGCAGCCACACCAGCCACATCATCACCACCATCCAATGACCTCGTCCATGTCGAGCGGTTCGGTGACCGCCGCCAATGCCAACTGCATCAGTGCGTCCGCCTCGCTCGCCTCCATGCCGGGCCTCAGTGCCTATTTGGGCATGGGTCCCCATGTGGGTGGCCACATGGGCTTGGGCCTGGGCCTGGGATTGGGCATGGGCCTCGGCCTGTCCAATCTGCGCACCACCAGCATCGATGCCGACGACGACGACGATGACCTGGTGGCTGCCGATGTGGCCATGAACAATGCTGCTGCCGCCGTTCCTGGGAACGGACCTGGTGCCGGCAATGGCTCCGGCTCCGGTTCCGGTTCAGGGTCCGGTTGCTCCGCCTCTGCGGCGCACTATCTGCGGTACAGCAGCAACTACCGCTCGGCCGCCGCGGCTCAGGCATCGCAGGCGGCCCATCCGAACGCCAATGCGAACTCAAACTTAAACTCGAACAATGGCCATGGCCACGCGCCGATCTCATCCAGCATCTCGTCCTCTGCGTCATCAGCTTCGTTTTATAATCGCCTCCTACTCCTCGATAATTCCAGCGGCGATGCAGTCGTCGGCGGCAACGGAGGCGGCAGCAGCAGCAACCACAGCAGCAGCGGCGGAGTAGCAGGTGGTAGCACCAATGGCCTCTTGGATAAGCACGATTCGGAGGTCACTCCCCAGGCTGGCCAGCAGTCCGTCGGCGATGGCTTCGCGCATTCCCACAGCCCGGCGGCGAACTCGGTATTCGGCGCGACAGGATCGAAGGAGAACGATGGACCGTCGTCGAGCAACTCCTCGCATCTCTACCAGAATCTGCTGAGGAGCAGCTCGGGAGAGGCGCCAGCGGGTTCTAATGCGGCGGGCAACAACTGTGATTACCGGCACGAGAGCAACCAGGTGAGAAAATTGAGATTGGGAAACTATAACCCATTTTTTAAGGCGTACAAAAGTATGCAATACAAAAATAAAGTCAAGCATCTAGAAATAGAAAGATAATTTAAAACATTTTGTAGCATACTTTTAAACACCTCTATAATTACTAATCTTACTAATCTTTATTAAATCCCAGAATGGTCTGGAAGACTCGCCTCGACGCCATAGCTCCATGGATCAGCTTATTGGGTTGATCAACGACATGGGCAAATCTTCGAGGACGCGCAGCCTCAGCGATGGCGGCACTCAGGATGACGACGAAGGTGGGTGCATGTAAAATACCCCAAGTAAACTCAACCAGCTTATATTCTTCTTATGGTATTACAGCGGAGAAGGAGGCGCAACCGGACCTGCTGAACAACACCCCACCGGTGCCACCAAAGCGCTCCCACAAGCGCCGCCACACGCCCCCTCGTCCTATTTCCAATGGACTGCCGCCCACTCCCAAGGTGCACATGGGCGCCTGCTTCTCGAAGATCTTCAACGGCTGCCCCTTGCGGGTGCACTGCACCGCCTCGTGGATCCACCCGGAGACGCGGGACCAGCACCTCCTGATCGGGGCCGAGGAGGGCATCTACAACCTCAACATGAACGAACTGCACGACGCGGCCATCGATCAGGTGTTCCCGCGCCGCACCACCTGGCTGTATGTCATCAAGGATGTGCTCATGAGTCTGTCAGGTGGGTACCAACTTTTAATCTTCATCTTAAAAAAAAAAATAAAACGGTTTAGTCGAGTTCCCCGACTATTAGATACCCGTATCTCAGCTAACAAATTTCAAACTAAATATTCCTCAACAAAACTAAAGGAGTAAAGGTGGCGCCATCTGTCTAACTGAATAGCAGAGCGTCGGCAGAGAACCTAATTACTTCAAAAATAAAAGCTCGATTTTAAATAAACTCACGCTGCGTAAGAAATACTATAATATGCATTTCAAAGTCCCAAAAACCTAGCTTTTATAGTTTCCGAGATCTCGACGTTCATACGGACGGGCGAACATACGAGTATGGCTAGATCGACTCGGCTATTGATCCTGATCAAGAATATATATATACTTTATAGGGTCGGAAACGTTACAATCTGCCTTCAACAACTAAAATATACCCTTGTACACTACGAGTAACGGGTATATAATTCTTTTTTTCTATATACGAAGAATATATTCTTACGAATATTTTGAGATGGTCCTAAAAAGTGTTAAAAATATTTGATAAATAAATTGTGCTTTAAGGCGAATCCTTTTAAACCATTTTTGGGAAAACCAGAGAGATTAGAAGGGGTTTGAAAATAGTCCAAAACGTGCCATCAGCCATTTAAAAATGGTAACAAATTGTTTTTATCTTACTAGTTCGTATTTAAATTATATACATATATATCGCCTCTAATTATGAATATGTTTAGCATGACGTGACCTTTTAAGTTGATATTTTTTAATTCTTTATCGTGAACTTTTTCACAGGCAAATCCTGCCAGCTGTATAGGCACGACCTGGTTGCCCTACACTCCAAGCAGACGGTGCGCTTCTCGCTGCACATGAACAAGATCCCGGAGCGATTGGTGCCGCGCAAGTTCGCTCTGACCACCAAGGTGCCGGACACGAAGTGCTGCACGCAGTGCTGTGTGACGCGGAACCCGTACAACGGATACAAATACCTGTGTGGGGCGACGCCCAGCGGCATTTTCCTGATGCAGTGGTACGATCCACTGAACAAGTTTATGCTGCTGAAGCAGTGCGAGTGGCCAGCCATCAGCATTCAAGGCGGAGGTCATGGCTGTGTCCAGAACGGCCACACGCCCGTGTTCGAGATGATTATCACGCCGGAGCTGGAGTACCCGATAGTTTGTACGGGTGTGCGCAAGGCCATGAACGGCTGCCTCAAACTGGAGCTGATCAACATGAACAGTGAGTGCTGGCAGCATGGAGATACCAAAGATTTTACCCAAACGGACTTCCTTGATTGCAGGTGCCAGCTGGTTCCACTCGGAGGACCTGGAGTATGACGCCATGGCCACGATGGTGCCGCGACGCGACCTGCTGAAGGTGGTGCGTGTGCACCAGGTGGAGAAGGACGCCATCCTGGTCTGCCACGGCAATCTGATACAGGTGGTCACGCTGCAGGGCAATCCCAAGCAGCACAAGAAGATGGTATCGCAGCTCAACTTTGACTTCAACGTGGACAGTATTGGTAGGCGATGGCGATACATTTAAAAAAGTTTACCTTCTCATCGAGTGAATCGCTTTCAGTATGTTTACCGGACAGCGTTTTGGCATTCCATAAGCACGGCATGCAGGGGAAGTCGTTGCGCAACGGCGAGGTGACGCAGGAGATTAAGGACATGAGTCGCACCTACAGGCTGCTGGGCAGCGATAAGTAAGACGCACTTTTTATGTATCCTTAGAATCTTGAGAAACCGAACACCAAACCTAAATTTAGCACTTGTAAATGATTAGGGTTTGAAAAGATGCATAAATATAGTCAAACCACTTAGAAAAATGAAATCCGAAAAGTAAAATGTAAATATATTTGGCGAAGACTGGTCAACAATCAGAAATCTTAATATATTCTAACTTAACTTTCCAGATTTCGATAACAGTTCCAAAAAAAATGTTATTAATTTATATTAATTTTAATTAGTTTTGTAAATTTATCATAGTCAGCAAGCATTAGAGTAATAAATAGCAAGTTCGCTATTTAAAGTGTTAGATATAAACTTTTACACCTTTATTTGTCCTTATCTAACATAAAGACAGTCAAACCACAAATCCGCAAAATAAAATGTAAATATATTTAGCGAAGACTGATCAACAATCAGAAATCTTAATATATTCTAACTTAACTTTCCAGATTTCGTTTATAGTTTCTGTAAAAATCTCTACTAATTTATATTTATTTTAAATAGTTCTGTAAATTTATCTTAGCCGGCAAGAATTAGAGAAATTAAAAACTAACTTGTCTTGTTACTTTAACCAAAAGTGTTTAGTGAAAATCTCAAGGTTTCGATCACAGTTTGATTTGGTACACTCCATTAATTAATATTAATTCTTTTTTCTAGGGTTGTGGCATTGGAGAGCCAGCTGCTGAGGACCGGCTCTTTGGGCAGCGAGGAGGGACACGATCTGTACATTCTGGCTGGGCACGAGGCCAGCTACTAAGCCACTGGGCGCCCGATTAATTCACTGTTATATTTTAAATATAATCCGGTACACCACACACACACACACACACAGACACACGTTTTAAGGGCCGCGCCGCCGTCGTCGTCAACTATTAACTGTAATTTAATTACTCGTAGACTAAGCAGTAAATTACTGATCATAGAGGACTAGAGAGAGCCAGTTGCATGTCGAGCGTTCGATAGCTTAGATTAGCGCAATTTTACCGCACCTAGAAGAGGCAGCCTTCGAACAAGAGATCCACACTACCAAGCACACTGATGCACTGATGGGGTACTCCTCGGCCCGATTTGCTATCTTTCGATCTGCCGATCACTCGATATACATATATTAGACGTCTGCGTCTGCCCGATTCCGTTGTAGCTATATTTTTGTATTACAAAGAAAAATGCTTTAATTTATACAACCAACTTTAATGACCTAAGGTAATCGCTACGGATAGTTATGTTAAAGAGATTTGTGTACACGCTTCACAAAGCCAATAGATACGTTTCCAAATAGTCAGTCGGCAGGAGAATCCAATTATACATTAACTAATACACGCAATTATCCACACGATTCGAGAACCACTAAGGCAATTAGAACTAATAAATACTTCTTAGACTATAGCAATTGTAAATCGCAATGTTTTTAGCTGGTTAAACTGCTTTCGATTGGCTCAAAACCGCAACGGAAATTTAAGGATGAGGGAATGAGGGAGGGGAGCGATCTAGGATGATACGGTTTGTTGGGAAACAAAACTAGCTAGTAAGACTTTTCTAACCTAGTAACACGAATTAACAAAAATAAATTCAAATTAAAGGTCTGTATCTGTATGTTAAACGAATAAACTGATTGTCATAGTTACGGTTTTAGGCTAAGCTAAGCGATGAATGCAGACATCTTTCCGAGCAGCACTTTTCGTCGATTGAGTTGTAAAAATATTCTACTAGACCTTAAGTTATTTAGTTCATACGACAAAGCAAAAAACCGAAAATTACAAACTAATACAGAGAAAAACAAACAGATAAACCCACAAAATTGTTGAACTCTAGTTTAGTGCAAGAATAAAAAGTATGTGAAAGAAATGCTATCTTTATTTTAAGATCATTTGGAAAGGTTTTTTTTTAATAATGTAAGTTTCAACTGGACCAAAGTTTCAGAAAAAAAGTACACTTCGGGGCGAATAATTTATATTTGACATTTAACTGATCTACCAACCAAGTTTTCAGGAAAATTATCCTGGGAAAAGAAAAGGTTGCGACTAGCGAGTATTTTTTAGATGTGGGAATCGAATCTTGCCTATTTTTGATTGGTTTTCGGTCATTAGAAAGATAGATATCTATTTCCTATTATTATTATTATTTTTTTACAATTCCTATTAAATGAGTATTACTCTTTACCTTTTTATACTTTTTACCTTATACCTTACTTTTATACCTTGTACCTTACCTATATCCAAAAAACTAGTACTAGTATCTAATTTTAGTAACGGAGAATTTAACTTATCGTTTTTTCTTGATTTTCCATCCTACGAAGGTAAGATATAATTTCTGGTTTTAGTTTAAAACCAAAATGGTTCCTATTTTTTTGAAGGCATATTTAAAATCTAAGCACACTTTTACAGAAATGTTTTTCAAATGTTTTCTCATTTTTTGAAAGACGCGTTAGGCACTGCTCAAAACTGCGTTTGTGTCGATTTTGAAAATGCGGTAACACATTTGTTGGATGCTTCACGTGTTTCTTGATTTGTTTACAATTTTCCCCGCAAAATGAAGCCCTTCGAAGTGCCGCCCTGGGAGGCAGGAGCCGAGATTATTGAATTTAAACCAGTGAATCCGTCAGGAAATGGTGTTGCTGCCGCCAAGAAGCCAAAGAAAAAGAAACCCAGGAAGAAGAAGGCAGCGGCATCGGGAGAAACTCCCCAAGTGAGCAAGGCACCTGGAAAATTCAGTTACCGGCAGGGCGGAGGACCTCTAGCCCCGCCCCTCGGTTCCTCGGATGATGATGATGACGCTGTGGAGGACGGAATCCGCGCCATGCACAAGGTGAAAACCGGAAGAATCGAGAAGCAGCGACCGCCAGCGCAGGCCACAAAAGGTGGCAAGAAGGAGCTGAAGCTGAAACCGGAATTGGCGCAGGCGGCAGTGGAGGCCATGGAGACCACTGGCTCCTCTGCTCCGGCTGCCAACTCACTGGCCAGTAAGCTGCAATCGGAGCTCCTGGGCGGACGATTCCGGTATATCAACGAGCAGCTCTATTCAGTCACCAGCAAGAAGGCGGAGGCACTTTTCCGCAAGGATAGCTCCGCCTTCGAGGCCTACCACGCTGGCTATCGACAGCAGGTGGAGAAGTGGCCCACCAACCCGCTGAACCGCATCATCAAGACCATCAAGAAGGTGCCCAAGACCGCCATAATTGGAGATTTTGGTTGCGGAGAAGGGAAACTGGCCCAATCCGTGCCCAACAAGGTGTACTCCATGGACTTGGTGGCGGCCCGTGGTGACATCATAGCGTGCAACATAACGGACACCCCTCTGCAAGCTCAATCCCTGGACGTGGCCGTTTACTGCCTCTCTCTAATGGGAACCGATCTGAACGAGTTCTTTCTGGAGGCCAATCGGCTGCTCAAACTGCACGGCAGTGTCTACATAGCCGAGATCCAGTCGCGATTCGAGGATGTGCGGGAGTTCGTGCGCTGCCTGAGCGCCTGTGGTTTCGACCTGATCAAGAAAGATGTGGCTGTCAACTATTTCTACTTCTTCCAGTTCAAGAAGATGCGCCATGTGCCCAAGAACACCAAGCTAAAGCCTTTCTCTCTGAAGCCTTGCTTGTATCGCAAACGTTGAGGCTGCTGATACTGTCTTGTTTCCAATAGTCAAAACTACGTAAATGCTGGAAATCGAAGTTGAAATCATTCTTGACTCTTACAAACTCTCTTCAGTTGTTCAGTTGGAAACATCATTGTTATTTCCACAACTGTATAAACTTTGAATTTCGACGATGTGAATAGTTTTGGAACCTGGGACGAAAGCTGTGCTTATAAGTAGTTACTTTAATACATTAACTTAATGTAGGAACCTTTGCCACCGCAATAAATTCTTAAATCAAAGCCAATGTGCGTACGTTTGTGAATAATAAAGTTGGACACAGGTAAAATTACACTGGGCACTAGAGGTGCCCAACCAACACCACATATATTTATTTTTTTGAACTATTATTTTTTATTTTTATAAACTAACCATGTAAAAAGCAGAATAATAACTCCTTAAATAAAACCAATTAATTGAGTCACGTTTGTCATGCCTCTCTAAAAATAACTCTTAAAATCTTAGAAAAACCATTTATAATAATCTTAGCAGATATCGCTTATGAGTAACTTGTGTTAGCTCATGTTGACGAATTGTTTATAATATATTTATAACAGACTCACTTACAATGAACGGATACACGAAATCAAATTTTGGATTAGAAACACATTTTTCGCAAAAAAAAACAAGAAACTTCGTATCGAGTCGCGTGGGCTTAAACTAATTTAAACAGAATTGGTCAAAGTAAAATTAAATTTTTTCTTATAGTAATATAACAAAAATAAATCATATCATTTATGAAATGCCGATTTAAATAAAATACTTGCACTTAAATTATTTTATTAAATCCGATACATTTATTAGAAGTGCGAATGATTAAAAGGACTTGGATGATATATTGAATAAAAGTTCAGAAATTTATTATTTATATTGCTAACAATTTTTTACCTAACCAATTCTAATTAAAATCGTAATGGAATCTTAAGTATCATATTTTAAAAAGTTTTCGAAAATCCTTTAACTTTGGGAGTCCTATCTCAAAAAGTTCTTGAGGAATCGGTCTAAAAACTTATGTAAACATTTTTTTTTAAGTATTTCGTAAAAAATTGCTCTATCAAACAAGATTGGGAAAAAGATTTATATTTTGCTCGAGCATCTCAAAAACATTTTCAACTATCATATAAATAATAAAAATATAAATTTATTGTCCTTCTTATTTAAATGGTTTCTGAACTTTATTTTCCTCTTTGAAAAAAAAAACTAATTTCTCAACCTTAACTAATCGCACACCTTAACTTAATTGAGTGCAAGAACTTTTGCTGGCGCTATAAAGTTTGAAAATAAAACCGACCGAGCCGCTGAGATGAACCACCAACGTTAGCCAGCACTGCTGGGAGCCACTTGGTGGTTGTTTTTCTCAGCGAAACTCAGTGGTCTCGACTCGTTTCGACTCAAATCGAAAAGCGGACGCCTCTCCGGTTGGTTTCAGTACCAGTTTGCTCTTCGTGCACAGCACATCGAATATTTGTGAAGACGGTACGTTAGATCGCGCTCCCTGAATTCTAAGCAGATTGTTTGCCAGCAGAATTGCAAGAGGCGACGAGCGGATAGAAAAGAAAAGCGCGCAATTCGACAGTGTGTTTATAAATAAATGGGAAATTAATTTATTAGCAACCACTATTCGCGCAGTTTCCGCCCACGCCCACCCCGCTCTTTATTTCCCCCCTCCAACCACCGCTCTGCGTTCTCTATTACTCATTCAAAAAAAAACTCAACGTCAAATTTTCAACAGGTATTCAACGACGACGACGACAACAACAAATTGTCTTTTTTCGCGAACGAATAGAAAAAAGTGGCAAGAATTTGTTTACTAGTGTGAAAGCGTGTGAGTGCAACAACAGGAAAAAGTGAAAACAACACAAATACAGCAGCAACTCAGCACATCTAACGGTTAAAAGGCGCCGCAAAGTATTCCCCATCTACGTATCCTTCCTGTGGATTAAAAAGGATTCTAGAGTCAACTTAAGTGGGTAAGTAACTTAAAGGGATTGCGCCATTTGCTTAGTTTTTTTTCGTAATTTTTTTGGGCTGTGGTCGGGAGTTTTTGGTGGCTTTATGTTTTCGATACAAACACAAGCGCAGAATGACTTGGGCAGAATGACTTCATAGCACACACACACACACAAAGTTAATTGAGAATAGCTTTGCGAGAGCGAGAGAGCCGCGGAGAGGCCAAGAGAGAGCCAAAGTCACTCACGCCGCAATTGTATCTGTGTATTATTGTATCTGTGAGCTGTCAAGCTTTCAGAGTGTATCTTTTGGCACGATATTCTTTCGACTTCTTGTTTTGTCAACTCGGCCACATTGTTGTTGTCGCCAGCTCTCTTTGACTTTGGTGCTGCCTTACTCCAATTTTCCTTCTTCTGTGTTTTCCTCCATTGCTTCGCATTTCGGGGAGGGTGTGAAACTCTTATTGGGCCGCGGTAGCCAAGGAAACGTTCCACAACACCGATCGGATACAAATATATCTTAAAGGTATTTGTAAACGATTCAAATGTATGCTTGTAAAAGCTACGCTGGTACTGTAGTCAATAGTTACAAATGTATCTCAAAGCTAAGCTTGTATAGAGGTAGATACTTTTGGATCACACTATTCAGATTTGATTGGTAAAGAATCTAGTTAAATACTAGGGCCAACAATTACAAACACGAATGTATCTCAAAGTTACGTCTATACAGTGTTATGGTATATCTAGTAAAATAATCTTACTCTATGCAACAAATGGTTCCCATAGCTTTGCTTATAAAAAGCAAACACGCTAACTAAATGTCTCCAAGTATTCCCAAAGTAAAGGGCAATTACTTTAACCCAAAGGTAGAAATGTATTTCAAAGCCCCATCCTTTTTTTATAGGGGCGAAAAGAGAAACCAAAAGAAACGATTTTCACATCTACGCACTTTCGGGAACCGAATCTTTTTGTATTCTTTTTTGGCCTCAATTTAATTTTGGAATTTGGTCGCATTCATATAGAATATAGAATTTCATGGGATGGCTAAATCCACTAAACGTCACTGCTCCGTAAATAGAATCGATCGGCGGGCGAGCAGGTTTCCGCACTTCTTATCAAACTTTGAGCGCTTTTCGCATTGGCATTTTTTGTGTTTGATATCGGCTCGGGTAAACAAGGACGGCTCTGTATCCCAACCACTAGGCAACATCGTTAGTACGCCGTTCTGCGATAAGATATGGCACCACAACAAAGGCCAGTTATGAATGG